TATATATATATATATATATATATATATATATATATATAATCTTGTTATTCGAATACTCGTCCAATCATTATTGTTACAACATTTTTGCAAGCAATAAATGGAAAGTTTATTTTCTTTTTATTATATTGAGTATTGGTTATCGATAAAAATAATTGATATTGATACATGCAGTTAAAAAAACGTATAAAATGTATAAAAAATGTATAAAAAAAAACGACGTTCACAATTCGATCGTTTTTATTGAATGTACGAACAGATCTGTTATAACGTTTTATTATTATTGTAATAGTGATAACTACGGAAACGCGTATCAAAAGTTTGGGCCAACTATGAAAAATTAATAAATTTACAATTTGAAATGTCACACAGCGCCTTAATTCAACGCGCTCGAATTCTTTGTCGTGAAAATTAAAGTAACCAAGGCTCAGACAGTTTGCAACTCGCAATTAACGTAATCAGTGTATCGCTGTATTTGCATGCGCTTGAAATGTGCGAATTATCTGCCGGTTAACGTCTTATTAGGTAAGTATAAATAAAAGTAGGTTGACAAGTTTTCTGTTAACAATCAACAGATTTACCAGTTTAATACGACAACTGCTAAGTATAGTAACATTTAATCGTACTGACCTATTATCCAAATTTTCTATAAAAAGGAATTATTTTTTTTAATTGCCATATTTTTTTGTAAATAAGAATTTTTTGTAACATGACAATGAAAATTTTAGAACATTGTAGAATATATTATTCTGTAACGAGTATCACATACTAAACATAGCTTAACTTTAGCTATTATATCAGTTAACATATATAACAATGGTTTAGATTAAAAACAATTTTTCTACTTAATAACGATATAATAACGATACAACTAGCAGCTGCTGGCTCTTATCCTTCCTCTTTATCAGAGAGTTGCCGCAGCATTATAGAGTTTGACAATGCCAAAGTAATAACCTGTAAGTTTTATACATATATTTAAGAATAAAGTTTATAGTAATTTGTTGTATATTAGTGTATATGTGGACAAATTACAATTATAATATATATTTATATTAAATATTTACTTTTTAGTAACAATGTTTAATGTGTTATAATGATGGGTGCGGTAATAATATAAAATTGATGATATCGGCGATACAAATGAAGTTGTAGTTACTTACGGCTCTGAAAGTTTCCATTGAAAGTACGTAAAACGGACCACCGGTCAAAATAATCGGCTTCTGTGCTTGAACTATTATCATTTGTGCTAATATATGGATATCACTGGACTTAAATTGTTTATTGGTATTCGATTCCTCCTTTTGGTCGAAAATCGCAACCTCCCATCCGCAGGAATGTATCGAAATGGGAATTAGCGATGTCTGAAATAGTATAACAAATTAAAATTGATGACAGTGATTCGACAGTGATTTCGTGTGGGAAATCCGATATTCTATTGTACAGTTTTTAATTGGAAAATTCTTAGAAATTCATAAGAAAAAGATGAATTTTTAGTACTTTCATGTACACAACTAACCAAATGTGTAATTTGAGTAGCGAAGAAACAGAAGAACCCCAATTGAACAGAGATGGCTATGAAGTATAGCAATAGATTAATCAATACAAGCAAATTTTCTTCGTCCATCTATTAGAAGGCGAATTTTTTTAGTTTAATCACCAAAACTTTAGAGAAAAACATAGAGTACAATGAAATTATACTGAAGACATCAATAAAACAATTGGTACCGTAAGTTTAATCGCTGATGCTTCAAATGAGAGGAAACAAACAACAATTGTTGTTTCGATGCATTGAATGAACATTATTGGACTGGCAAAAGTTTGCAACTTGTTTAAAAATCTAGAATTACATTTTTCTCTTTCAAAGATGTTACTACTTGTATAAGATTATATGTTATATTTCAGGATTTATAAATCTTATCAAAAATTAATAGTACATAACGTTATATTAAAATTCTCCTAAAATTGTTTCGTCATAATTATTGAAAGTAAAGAAAGTAAAGTATTACTCTATGATTTCCACATGGCAATCGACACAATTTCTTAATTTTTTCCTGAGCATGCATACAGCCTCTGACGCTCTACAATTTCAATATTTTATTTTCATACATTTGACATCTAGCAATATTAATGAGCAAATATATGAAAGATAATCTTCAATTGTATAATAATAATTTTACCGTTTGTTCTCAAGGAGATGAGTTTTAGTTAGTGTCCTATTGATGTATCGAAGTTGTGCAGAGGTGATAATCAACATTGAAACATAAAATGAATCGAAACAATAAATTGCAACTATACAAGACAACATTCCGACTGCCTCTACCATATACAGCAAAATATAATTAAAAATATTCTGAGTATCTAACGGAAACCATGCGATATAAGGCAAATCTCTGTCTGTAAATGTATCATTGATCAAGTATATCTTGTAAGTTCCTGATAGTAACGGGGCGACACACCACTGAAGAACTGTGAAGTTACACATGCATGACCACCATAAGAAGAAGATGTTGCAGTGCCGCCGTGCACATTCAACTTCATTCTTATAAGCTTCTTGTTCTAAAAAATTGTCGTTCTTGTAATCTTGATCACACAAAACTAAATATTAATGAAACACGGAAAAAAAAACTTTATGCGTTATATCAGAAAGCTTATTGCATCTCCGATGGAATTGTTAAAAACTACAACTTGAAAATATCCCAATTTTAAATCATGACTAGTCATACATGTTAGGTCGTAAACAATAACCATAATCTCTTTCGATATTCTCAAATCGGTAATACATGAACTACAAGAGTTGTTTTATAGAATAAATCTAAAATTACATACAAAGAGATATATGGATAACAATGAGTAGCTTACGTGCCTTCCACAGTACTATCAACACGTTGGCAAAGCACATGACATCTTTCCAATTTCTGCGTGATACCAAAAAGCTTTCTGTTGTTTGTTGTACAATATATCCATTTTATTGAGCCCACGACATGTGTAGCGATTATACTGACAACATCAGCAAACTGATTTGCATCCACACCTACTATAATTATTCCAATTTCCGCTATTAGATTCACAAATATCAATACAATAAAGAAAACCGATAATCCCGTTAAGAACATTATCTTAATTGTCAAGAACTGCTCGGATGCGTACATCCGGCTGTTCTTGAGCATCGCCAGCAACCACGGAAAGTAATGCTCGACGGACAACGTGTGTTGCCCCTTGTGCGCTTCGTCATCCTGGCTCTTCCGATTTATACTTGGCAGGTGTTCCGATTCATACCTGAAAAATCGGAGCGTAAGCGTCGCATAAGGACGTCAAGTCGCCTTCTGTTCGTGCAAGAAATATACGACAGTGGTTACGCGCGAGTACACGAAGGATAATTCGGCTCTTGTTTCGCATATTCCCCGGATACATATACAACGGACAATTACGTATGATACGACAGACGACCGGAGAATTATGTACATGCGTACCTAGTCAGACTGAGATCCCAAGGCGGAGTGTTTAACAGCGAGAAACGAGACTATATGACAAATGCACTTGTGACTTGTGTGATCAAATAGAAAGGAATGCATTAAATGAAAAGTCTTAAATAAGTCGTGTCACGAGAAATTAACGGGGAAAATGTTTTTCGAAAATATTTTAAAGATTTTTTTATTACCGTACATCATTCGCGTTTTTGTCGTTCTTGTAATCTTGATCACACAAAACTAAATATTAATGAAACACGGAAAAAAAAACTTTATGCGTTATATCAGAAAGCTTATTGCATCTCCGATGGAATTGTTAAAAACTACAACTTGAAAATATCCCAATTTTAAATCATGACTAGTCATACATGTTAGGTCGTAAACAATAACCATAATCTCTTTCGATATTCTCAAATCGGTAATACATGAACTACAAGAGTTGTTTTATAGAATAAATCTAAAATTACATACAAAGAGATATATGGATAACAATGAGTAGCTTACGTGCCTTCCACAGTACGATTGATTATTTCCACTGTCTCCTAAGGTCACGTGAGACGATCTAAAATTCGTGGCGCATTTCAAGCAAGAACTATGCTTGTAAAAAAAGCATTTCAACGTCAGCCATTGTCACAACTGGATGCATATACGAATATAACATGCTAAACTAAATCACTATGTTATACTAAATTACAAATAGATATCCATTCCGAACTGTACCGCGAATTGTAGATCGCCTAAAGCAACAGTATACCCGTAACCGTTTACTCACTCGCCAGTAGATATACTACGTATACTTTGTGCACACATAGAGAGCAATTTTCGTTCATGTATAAGCAACCTTATTTAAAGACAAGTGGCACTGAAATTTCGGAGACGTGGAACATCAACTCACTTCTCCGGCAAGTTCTGCGCGCGCATCTCTGCTACCCGAACCATGTATGATTTATGCAAGCAAATAAGTGTCACCAACGTGTCATTAAACCGGTTCGCCTGAAATGCAAGTAGCATTTGCAGCGCGCATCGGATATATTCTCTAATTAAATGCCGTGTAAACCTTTGCCGCGACCTGAGGTGGCCAGCGCGAAGTTCGCGGGACTTTGAAGTCAAATATAGCCATGAACCAAGTGCAAAACTTGATATCTAATTACATGCTCTCGAATTATCGAAAGCAAGATTACCGGTTTCCTCTTGCTGCTCTGTAATTGATTTCGGACGGCTTCCGCTTCCGTTTGCCGTCAGTATCGCATTAACTGTGTTGGCTATCGCATCGAACGAAAAGCGAGATACACTCGGCCCGAATCTAATTGAAATCTGCTGTTAATCCGTGAGTATTTATATAATATTTATGTACAATGATTGACTACTTATTTATATTATTGATTACTTATAATTATATATTTTTATTTGTTACGGTAAACAAAAACGAGATGTCAAACTTATCCAATCTTTCAATATGTATGAACACATAATGACAGTTTGTAAAGGGATTAACGTAACAGAAAAATAATTTGTATGTTTATGTGTGGGGCGGGGAGAGGAAGAGAAATTTAACTTAAAATTTAATTGTATAAGTAATTGCCTTGCTTTTTATTTTAAGTTATGTTAGAAGGAGAAATAATCACGATTTTTTGTCTAAAAGATCAACGATTCAGAAATTCATATGGTATGCCAAGAGTAAAATTTATTGGTTCATCGATTTTAATCATTTTAAAAACTAAAAACTAGAATTAAAAATATCGTGATGAAAAAAAAGCTAAAATTAAAATCTGCTAGAAGAAGATTGATCCAACGATCCCGCAATATTTCAACTGACTTTATCGCAATTTTTCTCTTCGCTTTGGTACAGACATCCCGTACCGAACATGTCTTTTTGCAAACAATCTTACGTACCTAGCCATGTTCTTTCTCAATATACCTTCTAGAAGAGCCTGTGCTCGCACATTATTCCCGCTCTACCTCCTCCTAACATCTCTGACACAGGACTGACTAGTCTAGCATTCGATTTTAAGTTGATCTTCTCCCCGGTCAGACAGCAGACAATTTCGGGCTCGGAAACTGCCAATTCCGGTTCCAGTATTTCTGTCCAAACGCGTTGACTACGCCGATCTATTCTATTCCTGCCAGAGAAAAGAGCACTCTCTTCTTGTTGTAGGTCAAACTTACCTAGTGTTTCTTCTACCTCCATCACTTGGAAACTAACTTAACTTATAGGTAACGTGATTTGTTTGTGGCAGCTGTGTTGTTTTTGCGCTGCTTTTTAAATCTGTACTTTGGAACTTTGTGAGTAGCGTACTTTGTTCTACTTTCTGCTTGACTGTCTGATTCGTCTAGATTCGCATGATCTTAATCGCGCGGATTCGAATTTATATTAGTGCTACAATAAATTTGTATACGATATCTTTTGCATAATCAGAGATTTTCTCCAACAACATCGCAATGTAGAATATATTATTCTCAATCAATTATCACATATATAGTTTGATTTCAGTATCCTATCGAATAACATATATAGTTTGATTTCAGTATCCTATCGAATAACATATATATATATATATATATATATATATATATATATATATATATATAACAATTTTTTATATTGAAAGCAAAACAATCTGTCGTTTATAATAATAAACAGCTACTGACTTTTATTTATTTATCCCGAT